TAGGCAAAAAGATACCTATCACTATATTTATGTAATAATAATATGTACTTACATGTTGAGTTACAGATTATTGCACAAAATCAGGCACAAAACACGGAAGTATGTAACTATTTACTATTTAGGTAGGGTAATTCCGGGAGAGATGAACCACCGCCTGAGATGGACCAGTCGGGTATTTTCGACTGTACATGGTATAGGAAGAATATTTCAAGCTACCCCGTCAACAAACGACTACCAGTCGCACTCCGATAGTAGCTTTGTGTGTGGTTAATTTTCGAGAGTGGCTTTATTTGTTTCTGCATTTACAAATGGTAGAATTTTTTTAACGGTATTTTGAAGGTGCGGTTCTAACTAAAAGAAAGTTTTAAAATGCGATTTGTGGTTAAAAATGCATTGCATGGTATCCATTCAGGACAACGTAAATGATGTGAAAGCCAATTAATAAATATAATTTTTGTTTTTGAGTGGTCTTTCTATCCCTGAAATTTGGGATAGATTGACCAGAGTAAATCGGGACAGTTGAACCAGTTTTTATTTGTGTTGTATACAATGCCTACAAAATACCAACGGAAGTTGAGCTCCCAAAGAGCTAGATGGACCGAAGAAGACCTCAAAAATGTTGTAAGGCTATAGATACAAAAACAATGGGGGCCAAAGCCGCAGCCAGACACTTAAATATTCCCAAAGCTACTCTAATTACAAGAAAGCCGTGCGGAAAACAAAAAAACTGGCTCACTGAGTTCTTCGTCTACTTTAGGAGAAGAAAATGAAGCGACAATAGTAGCACATGTAAAAAAGCTGCAAAACTTTGGTTTTGCTCCAACACGGAATGACGTTTGCTGTTGCTGAACAATTAACGTTGAAGCATCGTTTTAACGCAATCACAAAAATGACAGAATACGACTCGCTATATCTTTTCCTAAGTCGTCATTCAGATCTTAGCATAAGAGTTGTTGAAGGTGTTTCATGAGTCGTGTATAAACTTTGAAAATATGTGGAATGAATGCCGCAAAAAAACTTATTAATTAAAAAATTTAAAAAAATGAATTAAGTTTAATTTTGTTCCCTACCCTTTGTTACGGTTCATCTCTCCCTGTGTGGTCCAACTGTCCCAAATTGGTGGTTCAACTATCCCGCCGATTTCGGGTTAGTTGGACCACATAACGGTTTTTTATTTTATTTTTTTGTCAGCAAATGTGTCCGGGTTTTTAGTCTTTAGTTACAGTTCTGATTGCAGTTAGTTAAAATGTTTGTGACAATATTTTTTTTACGTCAATAAAGCTATTTTTGTGAAGATAGAGTCGAATCAAAAAAGGTGGTTCATCTCTCTCGGAATTACTCTAGGTACAAATAAGTACACAACGCTAACCTCAAATAATAGTAGCCGAGTTCGATTGCTAAAGTTGGCCCGTTCCGCAGGCGTGTTCGCGTGTTTATCCGACAAGCAGTTTTCAATATAGTACGCAACTAGATTTGCAACCGGTTTTTTGTTTCTATTTTTCTCTA